CGGCCAATTGCTCACTTCTCTATCATGTACTCTGTTAATTTCTTAATAAAAATCACCCGGCCTAAATTAACTGCCGGTATAGCTCCCAAAAAGGGAAAACAAGTGCTGTGTGGAGTGATTCTTTCGAAATTTTGAAAAAATTTGATCATTCAGAGCGTCGGAATCACATGATCCGACACCTCGTTTTCGGCACGGCTAGGGTACTTTGCTTTTTGTTTGACTTAATGTCCATTGTGGCTTAACTTGTATATAGATCAACAAAATTTTTTCTAGGTAGATTAGCGTTAGGATATTCGATGTACTATATAAATTAAATAATTTTTGCGTAACAGTCGCAAAAATCTATACTAAAATACTAGAATTTCTCATATTTTTTATGACATTTAGATTAGAAATCGGAAATCATTTCGTAATCGAAATTAGTGATTACTTTTTTTCTAATAATCTTCAAATTTCACATAATTTTGGTTTAAAATACAAAACTTATTGAATAATTGAGTAAATTTTTTTAAATAATTATGTAAGTTATGGAGGAGATATAATTTGAAGCCATATAGGTAACTACTAAACTTCAAATTGTACCTCTTCCATAAATTCTGTATTTTAAAACTATTATGTAGAGAGATTTTTTATTAATTTCAACCTATTTAATTAATTAGTTGAAATTTCTGGTAGATCTATGTGTTTGTTACACGAGACCTCATAAAGGACATAAAGGACCCGCATTATTTCAACGAAAATCACTTCACTGACACCAACGATTAGCATATAAAAAAACTATTTTTACCAATGACTAATTCACAGACAAATTCATTTCACATACAGTTTATCTAAACATGACCCTAACGACAATGACCAGAGTTACTTTGTCTATAAATTAATTGTCAGTAAAATAAGCTTGCCAGTAAATTAATTGTCAATGAACTAAATTATTAATCCTCGGTCTTGTGATTTCTAGCAAATTAGAATTTTGTAGGTCATGTGGCTTCTAAAACTCTGAACAAAAAGTTTAACATTGGGACAATTAAAAATTTTCTGATTTGGCCGACATCGGCGGTTTATTGATTCCAATTTTGTAACTTATCGATTTGGTCATTAGTGAATTTTTCAGTTGTCTCGGAATTTATGAAAACAGCTATTAAATTCTATCTGCTCATAAATCACGGGATCGAGTTATGACTAATCTACTTGATTTTCTAACAAAATCGTCGTAATACCAGGAACGAGTGTATAGCTAATATGAAAATCTTGGGGTTGATTGTCCAATATTTATTTATTAGGAATTATTTATTTTTCGGTTATTGTTCTATCACGCTTATATCAACATGTATTATGGCATACTTTACGAAATGATGCTATTCTATGGAGTAGCTTTACGAATCAAAATCTTAAGGCAATAGGATCTACAAATGAGTGTACGTAATCGTGAAATTAATAAATTTCAGTTCTAACCAAAAAGATAATTGATCAATATGCTATTCTATTAACAACCTGTAATATAGCATAGTCTATTAAAATCGAGTATTTCTATTTGTACACGGGGTATCTGAACACATCTCAAAATTCTAAGTATTTTACAACTTCATTTATCTCTAAAGCCAACCTTATTTTGATTTATAATTTATATGTTATACAGATTTATAATAATAATAATAATATCATGATCCGTTGGGAATTAGTGGAAACGAAGGTTCAATTTATTCACATACAGATCAGGGTACTATTGATTAATCCTCCGTGATCTTGATATGATAATCGGGGATTAGCAAATTAATTAATTAATGCTCATACCTATACACCCCGTGTTAGTAATTATATTAAAGAATAAAGACACGTCAGAAAAATATTTTTTAACATATTTATTTTCTTTTTCTGCATTATTTATTATCGCCATCGCATACATTTAAAGCTTTTTATAAATTGTATACAAGGGATCATGTATTCATTTTGTTTATTATTAAAAATGAATTCAAAATATTTCGTATTTTTGCCGTTCTTTTTTATTGTATTCTTTATCGATATCGTTTCTTCTGATTGCAACTATAATACGTCGTGTGTATGCCCTGTTGGTATTGAAGGAACACTATGTGGCAGTAAAATCGGTATGTAAAAAAAAAAATCAAAAGTTTCTGCTTATTGCAATAATAATATTTTTTCTTTAAAAAACAGGATGTAATCCAAATAATGTTTATGAATGTGGTAGTGCTGGTTTAACTTGTGAATATGGTCTTAGGACTTCATGTATTCAGTGTGGGGCATTAAATTGTTCATCAAAGCCAAACGATTCAAAGCCAAACGATCCAAAGCCAAACTATTCAAACCAACAAACTATTACTATCATAATATCTTGCATAATAGTCCTTGTAGTTTTTGTCTTTGTACTTACTTGCATAATTTGTATTTATAGATCATGTAAAAAACGCATAAACTGTGAAAAACGCACTGTTGTATAAACCAACTATTTCTGGGGGTTTTTTTGTTTTTTTTTTATACTCACGAGAATTAAAGTTATAAAAAATATTTTGCGGTTATAGAGTTAGGTTAAGAATATCTGGGTTAATAAGCTATAATAGTAGTCAAATAACTAATATTAATAGTAGATTAGTAATACTTTCGGTTATTTTACTCATATTAAAATTAATTTTATTGTACATTGTGCATGGTCTCGGTATTACCTTCAAGTACCTCTTGGAAATCAGGCTAAATGAGAAAACTAGTCACAGGAGCTACATAAGCACAGAGACACAGAACTTCCAGTAGTTTCTTAGAGCTGTAAAGTATAACAAGCGAGAGGGTTCATTTATAGAGTTACGGATTAAAAGTGATATTTCAAAAAATAATATGGAACTGCACCATAAATCTTGTGAGTAAAGCATTAAAGACATCAAAAAGACCAAGGTTTTGAATCTTCCGTTATGGCACATGAGGCTTGTCGGCCGAATCAGTCGAGTAAACAGGCGCGAAGATAAAATACTCTTAATGAAAAATATGCGTGACAGTGTGTTGAAATTCTAAGCGAAGTTTCAGGTGAAAACATTAAAAAAGCATAATCACGGCACCTTTTATCTATAGTCCCAAGAAGTAATTTTTAAAGGGCATAACTAGTGATGTGCCACGTACTGTACTATACGTACTGTACGTACTGTACTATACGTACTGTACTGTACGTACTGTACTATACGTACTGTACTGTACGTACTGTACGCTAAAATTTGACAGTCATTTTATAAGCTCTGAAGTTTAGGCTATAACATTTATAAGTCCCTAAATATTCTGAACCGATTACAGAATATTCTGAAACTATGGTATAAAAAAAATCCTACTATACGTACTGTATGCTAAAAAAATCCGAGTATCATAGAAATGGTAGAAATGGCACATCATTACTTTCAGTTTAATATATATGTAACATTAATGGTCTCTGCTATAGATCGTGTTAAGTTCACCTGATCTTGTATGATAAATTTAGGCAATGATCATCATAACAAACGCATGCACACGTTACTGCGTTAGCAAAGGAAGTACCATCCAATCAGATTCTCAGATTCCGTGACTCCACTTATTAACTTACCAAACATCATGTAAGTTCGTAACTTATGGACTTACAACCTATTTGTAATTTCATATTTTTATTATTTATTCAAGGTCTATAAATTTAATTATAAAATTAACTACTGAAAATTTTACAATAATATGTTAATGGAAGAAACTACATATTAGTTATAATATGAATATCAAAAGCATCACAGGAAAATGAATAAAATAAAAGGTTACAAAAATAAAGACACAAAGATAGATAATATATAATAATAAAAATAATAATATAAAATAAAAGTAAAAATAAAAGATCATATGATAGAAGTCCCATTAACATGTACGACTACAAGTGGGACATAAAGGTGGAGAACCAGTACATCCAGTACATACAAAATTGCAAGCACCACAGTGCATTAAACATGTAGAACCACAAGTACCAGCACCGTAAAGGAGAACGTTGCAGAGAGGCCCAGTACAATCCGAACTAACAAACGCGCAGTTATCACATTGACCAACACAGATATCAGAACATTGGTAATCCCTGTCAACCAATGGCGAGGCTAAAACCATCGAACAGGCCAAAAATACTGAGCAGGCAATTACTAAGATTTTGAAGAATGAAGATTTAGATTCCATTTTTACCTATATAAGAAAGCATTAGAAGTTTGACTTAGAAGTTTGACTTAGTAAGTAATTATAATAAGATCATACAAACCAAGAAATAAACGTGAGAAGATTTAAATAATTGTCAGGAAACAATAAAATTTTGACGAAAGATGGATGAGATGCAGTAACTTATATAGAAAATTTTTAAAACCTTGTTATTAATGATGTTGTACTTTAATTCTGCAAACTTGGAGACAATGATGTTATCTATAAAATTTCAAAATTTGATTGATAATTTGTTTGTGGCTATAGTTGTTGGTAGAATTGGTTTTGTAAATTAATACGGCAACGGCATGTGCCGTATTTTCTGCCATAATTCTTTTGGTAATATTGCAATGCCATAATGCCGCAATGTTATAGTGTTGAAATATTTTAATGCAAACTTTAAAATCCTTTCAAGCCTGAAATTATTTTACTAATTAGATATTTTTTTGCCATTATGTGTTGTATATAAAACAGATGGCTGAAGATTAAATATTTATCATTATGCTTATGCGTTGCCCAAGTGAAAAAAAAACTAAGTGGCGTTGTATAATTTAACAATAAGCAATGTAAAAATTTAAATAATTATCATAAACAAATTATTTTAAGATGGTTAAGTACAGGCTATTATAATAAGTTTGAAATTTTTAATATTTATATTATGTTTAATATCATAGCTATTTATTTTCTTAGTTGATAAAAATAAGGTAGCTTCATGACACAGTCATGTTAAAAACTGGATCAAAAGCAAATATAATATTTTTATTCTTAACGGATTTTGATAGATTGAAATTTTATGTTATCAAAAACCGTTCTATCTTTAATAGTAAGTTATCAAGGTTGATCTGATTTGATTAGGATTGGAATGATTTATATTTAATATTGTTATAAGTGGATTGTTAGCATATTCTATCAAATCCGATTAATCCAAATAGTTGTATTATGATGTCTACTGTTGAATTGTAGATTCCTACCCCATTCCAAGTCACAAGTTTTCTTATTTTTATTTATCTTTTTTTAACTTATTTATTTATTTATTTATATAATATTTTTATTATTTCAGTTATACCTGTATATAGTTTATAATTCGTCCTGCTCATGCCCTTGTTTACGTTTAAGAACCGTGGTAGTAATAATAGATAAACATTAAGATGCGCAGTTGGGGCTAACGCCAAGCCGAATATTTGAATAAGCCATAAAAATTAGTACTATGAGCAGTGTGGCTTCGTGCTACCATAGTATGGATGTGGCAACTGTTCACGAAGAAGTAAGCGACTGCTCATAAAGATCTCAAACGCCTTTATATAATTACTTAGTATAGCGTTCACGAATAAAATTGTACAAATATAGGTCCTTTTCGCCTTTCCAAAAGGACCAGTTGCGAATTAAGTTAATAATAAAATCTTAAAGAAAATAAATACTATACTGTCTCTAAAACATCTCTCATTAATTTATCTAAACTTCGTCTAATCAGTATTGTTTCCCTATTACACTACATTATCCTTGTATATAAGTATACGCTGGGTCTCTTATTTAACATAAAAGAAGTAAGCATTGAGGCTGAATAGACCTTTCCCTGAATAAATAGGAGCCGTATCTTATATAGTTATATAGTTCCTATAGTGTAATACACGTACAAAGGACCGCATAGAGGAATTTTAATTAGATCAATCAGTTACTTAGTGATTAAATTAATTATTTACTATATAAATCATTCTTAAAAATATCTTTAAGATTCACGCCACTCTTAATTAAATCAATCCCGATAACCCGCAAACTATCACCCCTTCCGATTAATTACTATCGACCTACACAAATAGAGTATATAGAATCCTAACGATAGCACTCCCTTTAATAGTAATTGACAAATATACCCAGTATCACGTTAACTATTGGAACTAAACTGTACTACGTTACCCGCTCTCCCGATTTACAATACTTATAAACAGTTAAAAATTAGATAAAAATTTAAGCATCTTACTGGTACAACCCGTCACTTCGTCGACAGTTTAAAGTTATTAAATAAATAAATCTATAAAATTGCTAGATTAATGCAGATGACATATAGCATTAAGAAAAATTAATAATTTGATATCACTTACCCCATTCAATCTTCGATTCAAGGTTGTCGCATGACTTTGCGAAGATAAATGTCCGTGAAGTCATAGGATAACGTTGAGTCTTAGGTCGAAGGCAGAGATGACGTATTATGTCATTCAATATATGTATAGCATTTAGAATCAGTATTTACTTAAAGCATTTATTTAAATAAAAAACTAAATTATAATGTTTAAGTAAATGTTATACATATATTGAATAACATAATACGTCACCCCTGCCTTTCGGTCTGTGAAGTCATGTGACAACGTTGAATCGCAGATCGAATGGTCAGATTCTCATGGTCGATATTACACAGATATCCTAATATCTTCGTAGCAAATAAGTAACACAATTTAAAAAATTGTTTATATACACCCTAATTATTTTAATAATGCGAAGAATCTTAATATATAGATATATGTTTACCAAAAACCTTTGTTAAGAAAGAACAGATTAAATATATTAATTAAAATGCTTGAACTACATGACTGTCTATTGCAAGTAATGACTTTGTTATTAGAAATGACGTGAATTATAATTCAACACATTTAAATTTATACAAATTCAATCTCTAATTAGGATATTACGGCATTACGGCACAAAATTTTTACGCCAATTAGATGTTATGCCGTAATTAATTCTACCACGTGTAAAATGTCGTAATGCCGTAATTCAGTAATTCTACCAACAATTATATTTGTGGCTGTAATCATTAGGCGAGACCATTTGTGTAAATGGTAATGCGCGACCATTTATGTAAATGATAAAGCGAAATCATTTATGTAAATTAAAATAAACTCCAACAAAGAGCAAAACTTTTGGTAAGATGATACTTTAAACGCAATAAATACGTAGCACCAAATTAATCTAGAAAATTGTAATATAAATTAGTATAAAATAAATATTACTTTAAATTTAGATTTATTTAGACTTATTTAGGATTCTCGGTTTTAACTTGACAATACTCAATAAGACAATAAAAAGAATGATTTTAAATTACACCGTATTTATTCGTAATTACACATAGACGTTAGTTACTTTAAAGATTACATATCTTGGAAAATTCATATTTTACTCAAAATAACACCCATGCACATTTCAAAGTAACGCGCCTAAATTCTATTTGATTTGCATATGTATTCAATACTATATATTTGTCATACCGAATATTCAAAATCAGAGCATTCTCCAGTATTGATTCTTTCCAATTAGAATGAAAGATCAGGTAATCAAAACAATAATCTCTTTTTTGAAAAGTCACCCTTATCTCACAAAATTCGTCTAAGAAATCGCCTTTTGCATACTAACAAAATTTCCTTGCAAAATTTTAGTATAATTATAGCCAATCAAATCTCACTATTTATCATGTGATAATTAAAAATTGAATTATGATTGGTTAAGAAGAGTTTTTGGAATATAAAGAAATAATAGGTTTTCTTGTAATAAAAATTTTATAATTTGATAGTGGAAGTATTCCCGTAGCTATCAGTTATGCAAAAATTAATATATTAAAATCAGGAATTATGTGATTTTATGTAGTATGCAATTCTTGCACTAAAACAAATCGTATTTCCGTGTCACTAATCAAATCGTATTTCCGTGTCACTAATCAAATATTGCACATGTGCGCTCAGAATAACGCACAGGTGCTCAATGATGCGCTGATGCTCATTTTTACGCGTAAGTACGGTAGTGATAAGTGAAATTATTCTTCAATTTAAAATATGTCATTGAAACAGTGTTATACAGAATGACTGATATTAGTTACAAATTGAGTAATACAAAACTTTTACCAAAACTCAGTTAATAAAATGATAAATAAAGAATAAACCTTAAAGTAATAAACAGCATGAAAAAATAGTTACGCAAATTTTGTAGAGGTGATAGTTGATAATGCTATTAATGAAATTTTAATCCCGATTACGTGGTCAGCGTGTCGATTATAATAACTATGGTAATCTTTACTTACTGTAACATTATTGAGTAATGAACAATGTGAAATGTCGCATAATGGGAATAATTATTTATGTTCATTGATATGAGGGAAAACCTGTAAATCATCTCACTTAACAAATAAATGATTTACAGGTTTTCCCTTTTCGTCACTCATATGTGAAATATAATTTGCTAATTCACGTAAATTAAATGACAATTTATTATAATGGATAAATAAATTTATGATGAAAAAATAGTTTTTTTTTTCTAACATTATAACATGTAATCAGTTACAAAGTATCGATTAACTTGTTTATTGATAAAAACCTGTTAAATTGTTTATTATGCTTAAATTATTTAAACTAACACGAGCTGGTGAAATAATGTTTATTTCAACATCTAATTCGCGTACATCTAATACAGTAAATAAAGAGATCTGTTAATGCCACACCTACTTTTGCTAATACCACTCAGTGCACAAAATTTCCAGGTGATGTGATATTTTTCACCGAAAGTGTTTTTTTCTAACCAGAACTTGATAAATCATAGCCAGAAGCTGTTATGATAAATGACAGAGATTTTCCGTTTGTTGAAAGATTGTGACGGAAAGTGACGTCATTAAGTGGAAATCTCCGGAATTGCATAACGTAAATGTGTGCAAGGTTGGTGGAGCAGTCGAAACTGTTTTTCGCAAATGGAAACACGAAATCTAAACTCGGCGAAACACGAAACTAGCGAATGCGAAACCCTTGGTGAATGGCGAAACTCCCGGAGAAAGACGAAGTCCAAGCTCTCAGCAAGTTTAAATTTTCTAAGACTTTGGAAAAAACTGAGCCATGTTGGAGAATGAAATATTGTATGTGTTGCCATTCGCCGGAGTTCGCCAGTTTCGTGTTTCACCGGGTTTAGGTTTCGTATTTCGGCATTTGCGAAAAATAGTTTCGCCTAACAAC